TCATAACATAACGTATGATTTCTCCATTCACATTAACGATTCTCTCAATGTTATATGTTAATTAAAACAATTAAAGATATGTACATGTATATTCCAGTACAAGACTTTCAACGATTATTATTTTTCTAACGTAAAAAATGTCATTTCATCAAAATTAATATATGTACAATTCAATTAAAATGCTTTCTTGGACTTTTTGAAATTCATGTGATGCGAAAAAACCTCCAAACACTAAGGCATAACCCCGCTAACACAAAAACATTTTTAAAATGTTTTTAAAACATTTTCAAAACGTTGCGAAAACATTTTAAAAAATGTTTTAATCACGTGATTTTGTATGGTTTTTTAAACGTTTTTGAAACATTTTAGTGAAATATTTCAGCAAAATGTTGTCAGAACATTTTCTTTAAATGTTTCAAAAACATTTTCAATAATGTTTTAATCACGTGAATTTGTATGGTTTTTTTTAAACGTTTTAAAAACATTTTAGTGAAATATTTCAGCAAATGTTTCCGAAACATTGTTTTAAAATGTTACAAAAACATTTTTCAACAATGTTTTAATCACGTGATTTTGTATGGTTTTTAAAATGTTTTTAAAACATTTTACAAAATATTTCAACAAATGTTAACATAACATTGTTTTTAAATGTAACAAAAACATTTTCAAAAATGTTTTATTCATGTTTAAATTGTTCGGTTTTTAAAACGTTTCCAAAACATTAAAGTCGAGGTTACACCTGCATTTTTACTTTTTTTCATTAAATAATGATATATTTATATATTAAAAGAAATAAACACAAATTATATCTAATTTTTTAACCTTTAATACAAACCCATATTCAATATATTAATCACATTTAAATTCCATTTAAATTCAAGTTTTAATCTATTTTCTTTCAAGTCACCGGGTTTTTAAAGGTTGAACACGGCGTCTAATCCATTCACTGAATTTTAAAAGAACAGAATCACAGAAATCCTATGTTCACTGTATGGGCCGAACAGAGTGGCGGATCTATAAGACTTAGTTAGAATCACATACACTGAAAAGGCTGATAAGGAATCTGCTCCTCGGAAAGAATAGCACAATCTATAAAGATAAGGAAAATTGTGTTTGTATCATCAGCGTTCTACATCTAATGTATCTTAAGATGATCCATAAAAATATACAAAAAAAAATATTTTAAATAATTATATCAAATTTAAGTTCTTTCCTCATTTGCATTGAAAAAAGCAGAAAAATAATTACTATGACAATATTATTCAAGTCAAGACTCAAGAGTAATAGTATTTACGTACACCTTTGCCTTCACCAAAGGCGGGTCTTTTGAATACGGGAATTTGAAAATAAGGATGATGCAACCAACACCATGCTGTAAAGAAATTTCATTTTTAAATCAAAATATTGTTTGATGATTAACATTTCACAAAGACAACGAATACTTGAATCAAGGATATAATTGTGCTGCCTTAAGAATGAAATATTCAAATCAAATATTTATATAACATTAACGCTTTGTCATTGCTACATACATTTGTACTAAGTTATTGATCATGCACTGGTAGTATAAAAGTCGTTTTTAAATGATCTTTTAAAGTCTATGATAAAGGAATAATTCTTACCATTCAAAGTTAATAAATCCCGAGGTTATTATTGTGGTTTATATGGTGCGAAGTCTTCTCATTCAAATCGGTACGGAGTAAGCGCGCACATCTTGTTTACCAGAATTCAAAATTTGGCCTAGATAAGCTGCAAACTACTATTCTCTGTAACGCGCTGCCCAGCAGGAGAATTGCATAATAGGTTATCATGACACTGAAACTGACCAGTGTGCCAATCCCTATCTAATGCCTCAGAGTAAAATTCTGGGAGTGGATCACAGATTTGATGAAGACAATTTTTTTTTAAAAAGACATTTAAGAGTTTTATTTAATGCTTATTTTTTTTTTTACATTTATTTATATTTAATTTTTTTTGTTTGCCTATCCTTTCATTTATTGATTTTTTTTATTTGTTTAATCAAAGGACTTTATATAAATTATGTCTGTTTAATCAATAAGCCAAAACTAGAAATCATTATAAAATACCGGAAAAAATCTTTCAATTAAATTTCTACAATTCCTCATTTTAACACTATTCTTTCTATATATTCTTTTTTTTTCTTCATAGACTAAATTTTAGGAAACTCGCAACCATACATTATTTGAATGTTTTAAGAACATTTTGAAAATAACAGCAGCAATGAAAAATGAAGTCTTTAAAAAAAGAAAACACATTAAATTGAATGTTCTAAGATCATTCTCACAACATCTCTAAAAGTTACTAAATGAATTAAATTGTGCCGCAATTAAATAAATGTTTCAGAAACATTATGAAAATGTTTCCAAAAAATGTTACAAAAACTATAATTAAAATGTTTCAATTGTAGTGAAAATAATTATTTAAGTTAATGTTTTAAATAAACATTTTCACTGCCTAGGCCGAAAAATATCCGGAATTGAATGTTTCTAACTAACAGCGATATTAAGAATGTTTTAAAAATATTTTTAAAATGTTCCTTACAAATGTTTCAGAAACGTTTTTGCAATGTTTCCGATTTACACAAAAAGAATGTTTCATTTCATGTTTTAAGAACGTTTTTAAAACGTTTTATAAGATCTTTAATTTTTGGAAGCTATAAATACCCTTAAATGAATTAAGAATGTTTCAAAAACACTTTGACAACGTTCCTTCCAAATGTTTCAGAAAGGTATTTATGCAATGTTTCAGATTTATCTAAAAAGGATGTTTCATTTAATGTTTTTAGAACGTTTTTAAAACGTACTATAAAAATCTTTGATATTTGAAAGCTAAACAAACCTTTTGAAACATTTTTAAAACGTTTCAAAAATATTTTAGAAAAATGTTCCAAAAGGATTTAATCATAAGCTTTTTGAAAACATTTTAAAAATGTTTTTAAAATGTTATAATGAGAAAAGGAAATGTTTTAAAAACATTTTTAAAATGTTTAGTCTGAAATGTTTCGAAAAAACCTTTTTACAACACCAATAAAATGTTTTGAAAATGTTTTGTGCTACCTGGGAAATTTTGTCAGAGAAAGGGGATAAATACGTGTAGAAAAAGAAACCAAAAACATTCATTCAGAACTTAAGATCTTATTGGAATATACTGTAAATTAACTTTTATTCTCAACAACTCTATTTCGCAGTTCATCGAGGTTAGACTACATCGCGACGATTATTTTTCAATCAATCATTTTCTTTAAATCTGTTTTTAACAAAAATGGTTTGCAGTAATCTTAAAGCTTCAGAGTAGTTTTACCGAAATAAAAAACAATTCCAATTGATTACAGATTTTTTTTTACAGTTTAATGGAGAAGCATCATGTACAGGTATAGGGGTTCAAATCAAGACATTCATACTCGGCTGTCGAGGTAAATGAGTTGTGAAAGTTTTTTATTCCTACAACTCATATTTTGACATGAGACCTAGGTTTTAAAGGTCTCATCCGAAAGATCAATGACGTTAATTTCTATATCCTGGACATTGGCAAGGGCACAGTCTAACAGTCTAACAGGTAAAAACAAATAGGAAAGTTGAAATGCAATGAGCAACTGATCATCGACATTGTTTATCAAGCATACAGGAGTTACTTAATTTTGGCCATTCAAAATACTCAATATAATCAATGCACCATGGATCCCAAAATAAAGTCTTTAACAATGTTGATGTTTTTGGAACTGTTCAATTATATAAAAAAATAAATCTTGCTACTTGCAATTTAAGTTTATTTAAATAAGTATAGGATAGTCGAATCAGATCATTTCTGAAACAGATGAAAGTGTTTGAATACAAATTTGAACAAAAAAATGAGGTTAAATGGAAACGTTCATCGAACAAATATTCATTGACATATTGGTTGGTCAAGAGAACAATATATTCAAGGGTAATTTTCCAGTTAGTGAGTGAGGTTCGTTATATTAGACAATATCGGTAATGTATTGTGGTTTTAAGGTCAGTACTATACATGTCGTTCACCGAAATGAGCGGTTCAATATTCATTCAAATATACACCAAAAGCCATAAAGCTGTTTAAAACTTTGGAAATTCATATCATCTTTCTTGTTCACATTTGCTGAAGAATTGCAATGACAGTAGCAGCCTTATGATTAATATAAACAATCGTATTGATTTTATTTTTTTTTAATCTGAGTAAGAGCGATGTTGTAAAAAAAATGTCAGACACGTACAAAGTAGGATGGGTTTTGAAAGTGGCGGGATGTCTTGTTTTAGAGGCATGAGAAGGACGGCCGGAAAATGTATAATTCCAAAAAACAGAAGGATTCTAACACTTTGAATTTAATTACTGGGATGGGTTGTTCTATGTCCATTTAAATTTGGAGGGTAACACACCTTTCGAAAAAATAATTCCATATTATATCTATTTTTAGTAAACATTAAATACAAAAAAGGTGTAGCAATAGGCGCTGGCCAATTTGTCTCATGGCTTTCCAAAATATATGCATGAATGTTGTATTCTATTCACCTGAGAAGACATTAAATACAAGTGAAATAACATTTCAGAAGTCATCTTGTTATACAAATATCAGTCAGGGAGTCCAATGAAAGAAGTAATTGAGAAAAGATATGTGTTTTATTTTAAAACACGGCCAATTCATCTTATTAAATTCAAAAGATATTATGATAGGAATTACACTTATTCTTTTTTACAAAGATTTGAGGGAATAAGAATAGATTACTCTGCACGGAAGAGCATAGAAGCCGTCTTGTTATGGAAAAATAAAACTAAAGCAGAAACCTTCACGAACACAAATAAATGCATAATCATGAAACTAATGTCCCACTCCAAACAATTTTGCAAATATATCAATGACTTAATTCAAACCAATATAATTTACAGAACTGATAAAAAAAAAAAAAAAAAAAACTGATTGATAATCAACATTTTAACGTAGCCAAACAATGGTACGAGGATCTGCTTTATGGCTTGTATTTGTCCTTTTCATGTTTTATAAATGCATCTTCAGTGTCACCAAAGTAAGGACTTGCTAGGTTTTTTAACATCATTCTTCCAATCATGTCTAACAGACTCTCAACGTTTTTCTTCTGGTCTAATATATAACCAGTATCACTGAATGCAACATATCTGTGTTCCGTTTTTTCAATCCAATTTTTCAGTTTCGATTTTGGGTTTAGTGATTTGACGTAATCATGAATATTTATGCCTTCACCTACCAATTTTTCCTTTCCAGTAAATACGACAACAATGTACTTAGTAACTTGACTTCCAAAATTCCTCTCATAAAATTCAATAGCTTTCTCGTCCTCTGTTGTGAATTTTCCTATCCTAGTGACAAAGAGAAGTGCATGAGGACCTGGTTTAGCTACACGCAACCCCTTGGCTATTTCATTTTTGATTGTCTTTTCTTCTTGGTTTGAACCATACACACCTGGAGTATCAATTATGCGAACATGTTGCCCCAGAAAATTGGTAGCTTCTACAGCTGTTGACTTTAGTGTTCCAGGTTCATTGGAAAATACTAAAGGAACTGCAAATACTTTTCTTCCGATTAGCACATTACCAACGGTACTTTTTCCGACACCAACTTTCCCTATAACCAATAATCGCAATGGTTCGGAAGTGTCCTGTGGGTCTAAAAAAGAAATTTTGTGTTTATCAAGTGATTAAGTTAAATATAGTCATAGGCACTTCAAAGATACTTATTATTAATTCTAATAAAAATGTAACTACATGTACAAATCTACATACATGTGTTTGTAAATCTCATTTTTTGGCAAATGAACTTAGTTTGAAGAATCCACAAAATAAGAGTTTCAGTTGATTAGGATCCTCTTTTTATTTACAGTTTATTTCGAAAATGAGTCCAGTCATTCTATAGACAGATTTTATTATCAATATAGAGTTTTCATAATCTCTATAAATTATAAACTACAGAAAAAAAGCAGAATATTTTCATACATTTGATACCAAATACAAACTGCATTGAAGACTTAAGATGATTAACTAACCCACTTCACACTCTTTGTCATCATTTTGTAAAGACATTCCGTCAGGACACAGGCATTTAACGTTTCCCTTTGGCCGAGGTAAGCATATGTGGGAGCACCCTCCTCGTTTATAGGTACATCCAGTGGATTCTAAATTATTCAGGCTTTATTATATGCAAAACGATACATGTATGATTTAAGTTTCAACATTAATGATATTACAATTAATAGTCATTCTAAAATTATATATAGCTAAGTCAGCCACATTGCTTATTCCCACTGAAAACAGTAAACATTTTTTTTTGACATATAAACTTAAAATTTAAAAAAAAATGATAGTTTGAAAGAAGTTTGCGCGATGTTTCCTTAGATTTAATGGAATAAAAGGCAGGAAAATGTGTGAATCATTATTAAAAGTATTGTAAAGACATTTAACCCTGCACATAAGGTCCTCCTTTGTGAAAGTATATTCCATTCAATCTTGAAAACGTCTCCGTGCCAAGTTGGTAATGCATACCACTTCGAATCGATAACTCCATCACGTAACTAAACAGGTTGAAAAATATATCACTGAGGCCAGAAAGATCCATTACAAAATTAACAGAAAGAAAAAATTTGTGAAACCACAAATTTTCGCGGGGGTTTTCGTTTGTTTTTAGGTTTAAAGAGTCCCGCGAATTCATGACCACCATAAAATGTTAAATCTTATGAAAAAAAATTATTTAATTCTCCAACCAGGAAATAAAATTCCAACAAACCAATGATTTAAAAAAAACTTCAACACTTTTGCAAAATATGACTTTACAGTAGTAAACGTTTTCACAGTGGCTGGATTGGTTCATAATATAAGTTTTTCATTGTTTTACATTATATTATTTTTTGACGAGATGATTTAAATCGGAGACAGAAGAGATTCATTGGGAGGGTTTTTCTTTTCTATTTTTATTAAAGGTTTCGCCTTCCTTTTAGAATATTTTCAATCCGAAAACTTTTGTCTCACACTACTAATATTTAATCTGGAGGACCATCATCTCAATGAATGAAATGATTCCCTACCTTCAAAATTTAAATTGATATTGTCTACTACTGACTGTATTTTTTTTCTTGTTTTATGTTCAAATGTTTTACAATTTTATCTTTAAGAAATATGTGTTATCTAGAAACAAGAAAAATACAGTTACTGATTCATTTTCAGTTCATTGACTTATTTTGAATTATACAAAATTAGGCAATATCCATATTTAAGGTTTCTTTAGACTATTCATTGATATGGTTTAAATAAGTAAGGAATCTAAAGTTAATAATTCAATTTGACTGTGCAGGTTGTGGTGTCTACAGTATTTTTATGTAATCGACAATAACTATAGTTTAATAGAAAATAGTTGCTCTTGGAATGTCCAGTGCTTCCTCTTTGAGTGCCTGTTGAGCAGAACAGGATCTCTTTACCCGTTGTCTGTCTGTCTATCTGTCCGCCTCTACGTTTGTTTCTCTGTAAGTTTAGAAAGCATGTAATTGATATCTCTTTAACTGATTTATTGCTTGACATAACAGCTTTTGTAAATTAATGTCATTACAGTACTAGTCATCCTTTACTAAGGCATTTGCCAAACTTTTCAATAAATTCATCCCTACAAGTTTAATACTCTGTATCAGTTTATGAGGTACAGTTTTGGCTTTGTTTTAGGATTTTTACACTTTTACCTTGACTATTTTTTTTTCTGATCGTCCTAAAATTCCTGAACGAATTCAACGTATCCATTCCCCTTAAGTTTTTTTTTTAAATTTTATTTCTCAATTTAACAAAATGAACTAAAGTCTAAAATCTAAAACAATAATCAAAGCTATTTATTATAATGAATATGAATAACTTTGCACTGTTGTTTTTCCGTGATATATATACATACATTTTAAATATATTTTACGCTGGATTTGAAAGTCAACTTTTCTTGATTCAAATATTTCAAACTCAAAGTACACTATGATAACGACAACCCGTTGCTCCAATAAAATAAAAGCCGCGTACGGCAAAGTGGGAACAACTGAGAATCAACAAAACACCTAAGTATGAAACAGTTACTTCTCCTAACTAAAACTTTATTCTTTCAGTGCACACAAACACTCAAAACCCCTGACTTGTTTTATCTCGAATTCGATCAAGGACCTGTTTATTAACACCGCTATGAAAAGTGGGACACGATTGTATCCAATTACAGCTGCACTAGCAAGATGTTTGTTAGACGTTTGTAAAGATGTCTAGTAAATGACCCTTTAAATTGTATCGCACGGTAACAACTTTTCAAATCATTAATGCGTGGTAAGAAAACTGATTTTGCCCCCCCCCCCCTTAATTTTTTCCTAAGTGGGTGACTGTATGTTAATCTTTATTTTATTATTAAACAAGTATCCTTTGTCTATCAATGTGTTTAGGGTTTGTTTGAAATATTCAAGTGTAATTGCATGACTCTTGTCAGTTTAAGGATTTTTTATATCCATGGTTCAAAATATAACAAGCATACCTAAATGAGCAGCTATATTACATCAAAATTTGTTTTCTGTATTTAAACTTGATTATATAACTAAAGTAACGTGCTCACTTCCACTTGTATTGTTTTTTTTTTATTTCTTTTTGAAAACACACCATAACGTACAACTAATTCATATGAGTGAGAATTAGGACGTTAAGCAATACACTGTAAATCTATCTTTTATCACCCGCTCCCAATCCAATTATCTAAGGAAAGTCTTTTGGTAAACTTCATTTATGTTTGATGTCATTTTAAATTCCCTTGTTTTTTGTTGATAAACGAAAGAAATGCAAATTTCAGGATGTGAAAATGTTTCGAGAAGTATATGCAATTAAGAGAAACACAGGTGCCCCCTAAATTATCTTGAAAAATATATTTAATATAATAAATGTTAAGCAATTTTCTCTTTCTGGTTTGTCAATTTTGATTATGTCTTTTCATCTTACTTAAGAAAAATCACTTCAAAATTTTATTTTTTGTGATTGTTTTTTCCCCATTTTTTTTCTTTTTTGGTTTTATCCCATTTTCGACAATGTTTTATCAAATGACGACCCCACTCCTTCCAGCACAAGTTTCTGAATATTAGCCTGTAGTGAGTACTAGGTCATTTGAGCAGGGGAATCTTTTATTGTTCGGACATCTACTGCGACACGGAACTTTGGTACAATCTATAGGGTTGGTACCGTACAAATTCCCACGATTTATATTAGTGGAATAATTATACATTAAAGTGAATACTGCAATGAAGTCTCTATACATATATTCATGTTAGTTTATTTTAATAGGTATTTTGTGTAGATATCGAATTTTCGGCGCATCTGATCTCTTATAGATTTGAATTGTGTAACCAAACATCCAGAGCTTTCCAGTTTACATGAAAATTATTATTGTAACTTCTCCCTGTAGAAAAATGTGATGCTAGAAAGTCTCTTATCGACGCGCACATTTACTTAATATACAGGCTGGATGAAATTAAAAAAAAACAAGAAACTATATTGTACTGATAAACAATCAGTTCTCTATTCTTTCTTAAAGATCATTTCCTTTTTGTGTCCTTTAGAATCCCACTTTGGATTTTTTTTTCAGTAGTGTGGAGACATCACCATGTACCGGTATAGGGTTTCAAATCAATACTCGGACGTCGAGGTCATTGAGTTGGGAGAGTTATTTATTCTTACAACTCTTACTTTGACATGAGACCTTGGTTTTTAAGGTATCATCCGAAAGTTCAACGACGGTCATTTCTATTGCCTGAATTTCAGCAAAGGCACATTCACATATATGTTGACATAATGTAACTTGAAAAAATAAATATGTAGGGTAAAGTGGGAGCAACTGATCATCGACATTGCTTTTTAAACATGTAAGAGTTACTTGATCTTTGCCATTCAAAATACTCGATGCAATCAGTAAGCCATTGATCCCAAAATTTTTTTTTAACAATTATAACATATGATTGATTTAATTGGAACAGTTTAATGATTTAAACTTAGAAATTTTATTTTGTAACCTGCAATTCAAGTTTATATTATTGAGTATAGGAGGTTTAGATCATTTACTTTCTGAAGCAGATGGAAGTCATTTAGTTCAATTGGAATTTGAAAATATGAGGTTCAATGACTAAATATTCTTTGCGATATTGTTTGATCAAGAGGATAATGCATTTAAGGGTAATTTTCTAATTAGTGAGTGATGTTTGTAATATTAGAAAAGTACGTACGGTCAATATCATACATGTAGTTTACCCAAATGAGCTATGCAATATTCATTCCAATATTCATCGAAAGCTAATAAAAGCTGAAACTTTCAAAATTGATGCAATCTTCCTTGTTAACATTTGCTGAAGAATTGCAATGACAGTAGCTGTCTTGATTATTACAAACAATCATTCAAGGAAGAGGGTACAGTTTTAGCTTTATTGTGCCCGAAAAATTTAATGTTCTTAAAAAATTATGAAATTAGCTTTAACAATAGTTGAAAAGATAAATATGATAAATAATTAATGAATATGACATAAAGAAAAATGATGTCATTAATTTGAAATGCTATGAAAAATCATATATATCAAAATCTTTCTTGGCGACGGTGGCGGAGTATGTTTTTTGAAAAAAAAATTCCAACGAAAATTGATGCCTTCTACAATTTTTAAGAAAATACGGGAAAATGTACATGTTAATAAGGTCACAGTTAGCATTTAAGAGTTCATATATGAAAAATAAATCGTGTATTCCTACTGCTGGGAATTCCTATGATTCAGAAAGATTGAATTTTTATCTTTCATATCACGTTCATATTTTAGAAAAATATAGGGCTTTATTTGTTTTGAAACTGTACCTTCTTCTTTAATTTTGAATTTTTTCAATCTATGTTAAGTGCCATGTAGAAAAAAAAATATATCAAACACGTACAATTAAGGATGGGTTTTGAAAATGGTGGGATGTGTTGTTTTAGACGCATTAGAGGGACGGCTGGAATAGTATTATTCCCAAAAACAGAAGGATTCTACATCTCTGAATGTTATTACTGGGTGGGT